TACATATGTGCTTGACTCAATGGATGTATGTATGGACTGTGATAAGAATTGTATGAGCCCTCAATAAAATAATTTAAAAAAATAAAACGATATAAAAATATTTCCAATTTCTTCATCTTTAGTATTGGTAGTTGGTGCAAAAATTTGAATAATAATCACTTAAACTGGTCTTCCTCGTAGGTGTATGGTTGTTATGCTATCACTGACAGCACTGTGCTTTAGGACAGTACTTGAAATGTTTTTCTTGATGATTAATGTAACATCACTCCTCTCTACTTTGCCACACTTGTTATAGCAAGCCATATGATTGTCCAATTCAGAACGGCGTGTAACAGTGCATTTTTAAGATTTTATTTTTCTTGGATCCACAACAATTGTCAAAATGGTGCAGAATCTCACAGAGCTTCATTCTTTTGTACACGAAGACTCTAGGAGTTGGAATCTACTTGATGGTACCTAAAACAACCCCAATGCCAAAAATATCTATTTTTATGTGTTCCATTTCATGTTTGACAACTTCCAACTGCCCTAGATTCATAATCTGTGCAGTACTGTTGGAAATTTGCAGCTATTTCTTTTCAGTCTGAGTCATGCCACATCAGCGATTGAAGATCCTAAACCCTTTACTCCATCCACACCATTAAAGTCAACTTATTTTTGAGGAAACAGATGTTATCCAGTCATATTTTGAATGCCTTCCAACCTGAGGGTCTCAGATGCCAGCACTATATCAGACAATGATCTTAGGTATATGTTCCCAAAATTTGAAAGCAGAAACTCAAGCAGACACTTATACACCAATATTAATTGCACCAAATGCACAATCACTAAAAGGTGAAAACAAACTAAATGCCCATCAACAGATGACTGGATAAAGGGATAGTTGGATGTAAGTTTATGTTGGAAAGGTCTAATAGAAGCCAGAAAATGTGATGAGAAAATGGAGAAAAGGGGAAAGAGATAGGTAAGTGGGGGTAAGTTAGAGAAAGAAAGAAGTAATAATAATAATAATAATAATAAAGGGTCATCTGAATATATCAGAAGGTTTGTTAAAGGGACGATCTACTTTAAGAGGAATAATAAGAAGTAATAGATATCATGAAAATATATTTCATGAGGGAAAGGAGAGAACAGATGGCAATAGTGGTTGGGGCAGGAGCAAAGTATAAGCAAATAATCAGACCAGAAGAAGAGGGATATATATATAATTAAAGCATATATATATACATATACACTCACATATAATTAAAGAGGAAAAGGAGGAGGGAAGAAGACAAAAGATGAAACACAAGAAGAAAAAAGTAAATGTAGAGACTAGAGAAGGGAAAAAAAGATAGGCAAGTGCCTTGGGTATATGAGTGTGGAGTTCTTTCGCTATGACAGCATGAATATGTTCAGATCTGAGCTCTGGGGGGGTATATTTTTAAAAACACAAACAGAAACATGATTTGGGTGGGTGTACCTGTGTATGTCTAGGAAGTGCACAAGGGGGCAGGGTTATATGGAAATAAGAGGGGAAAAAGAAATATATATATATAAATCTAAAAATATATATAAGAAAATAAAATCACAGTTAGGATGGGGATTTCCGATCCTTTGATGTGTGTATATGTCTGCTACGTGGCAGGCTGCTGGTGGTGGGGTTGATGATGGGGGACACCTGTGAAAGGAGAAAGAAAGAAGAAAATAGGGAAAAGCATTGCTTGAGCAGTGAGGATGTCTTCACCAAGCTTCCCACAAGGTCTGCTATCCATGCAAGAGCCCCCAGACATTGAACAGGTAAGAGGTTTGTCCTGGTGGGTTGGATCAGGGGCAGGGTTGTTTGTGAGGGCAGGTGGAGTGCACAGAAGCAACTCGGGCTGCTAATCAATGGTGATGGGGAGTCTGTAATAGTCAGCAGACATTGCTGATCTCCAACTTGAAAAACTGTGGTGTACTTAGCTTTTAAGCTGTTTTTCTGGCTTCTAGAGAGTGAGTGCAGGACTTCCTGGTGGGACCTCTCTGATAGTTGCTGAGATTTTCCTGGTAGCTATAATTCCTGAATCTCTTGTTGTTGTTGTTGTTGTTGTTTGTTTTGTCTCTCAATATATATGTTTCACTTGAATCAAGTGCTTTTTCTTCTTGCTATTAGTTTACTGAAGAACTGGGCTGTTTTTGTCCAGTCTGTAACTTACCATGTTCTTCTGTCCTCTGTGTGTTCTATAAATGATAGTTTGATCTAGAAACTCACGTATGAGGTTTTTGTTGTTGCTTGTTTTGGCAAGAATCAGTCATAGGGAGTGCTGTAAGTCAAAACCTTTAAAATGGGAAGTTCTTTGGGGAATCTTGTAGGACCAAGTACCATGTTGCTTATAACCTGCAAAATCTAGTTAAGAGGGATGAATTTCCTAACCACGAAGATTCCTATAGAGTAGAAAGCAATTCTCATTTTTCTTGAGTTCCTGGTATGTTAGTTGCTTCCAAACTTTATTTTCCAATTCATGGTTAACCCAGTTTCTTGATCTTCTCCATCAATATATTTTCAGTCACATAGTCCTAGTATGTAAGAGCAAAGAAAATAGAGATCTATACTAGTGTGTTTTTTTCTGAAGGCCTTGGTTACAAAAGGTCCAGAATTCTGCTGAAATTGTATGCATTTTTGTGAGGCATGGGTTTAGAGCTTTCACGGAATTCTTAGGTGGGTCTGAGTCCATGGGAGATTGAGGTCAAGAAAAAGGAAAGGACTGTTCCAAATTGTAGAAGAAAATCTGGCCTCTAGTCTAGGACTTTCCCTTAGTTCTTTGGACAAAGTTACAAACTAGGAGATGAGCAGTGATTTTAGGTGGCTCTATCGCAGCTTTTCCATGGCAAATGTTTAACTCTTAGCTGGCTTCTCTTCATAGACCCAGAATCCTGGAGTTGTGTAAACTAAATCCCGGAGTTGTGTTCATCGTCTAAAAAAACATATTTAAGAAAGGAAATCAATTGAACTTTGAATAATTTTTAGTCCACAGCACTGGTTTCTTTAATTTTGATGGATAATTGTGAGTTACATAAGGTGCCTGCACTTACTTCTTGGCTAGGGCTCCAAGCAGAGTGGCACCCATGGTCAAATTCCTCTCTACCTTTGCTGTTCTTGTTTGTTGTCCCTAGTAAGTTCTCTTCAGTACCCCATATGTGCAGAGTAAAACTGCTCTGTAAAATTTACTTTCTGTTGTGAATTACAGGAAGGTTTACAGGGTACAGTTTTCCATTCCAGAATTTTGTTTCATCACATTGTTTGTTTGTTATCCTCACAATGTAAGATCACTTATCTTATTTCTTTCCTTTGTTTCTTGTTTCCATTTCTCATTTTCCTATTTCTTCTGAACTTTGGCCTTTGGTTAATGCTGCCCTTTTTATTTCGAATGGTTGACTCTTCCGAGGCGTGTGCACCTTCCTAGTGTTAGTTTCCTCCTCATAGACCAGTCTATTGAGCTAAGGTTCTACTTAGTGTGAGAGAAAAATGTGAAACAACACTCAGAATCATAAAAAAAGACCAGGCTTACTGGTTGGATAGAGATTGGTGGAACCCCAGAGACTGGTCCTTAGTCACCTTTCAGGTATGGAAATTAACTTTATAGGATTTTCAAGGATGTGACCTTTTGGATGCAGATCACCAGGTCTGTCTCCAGATGTGCTTCTAGGCAGGTTTGTACCTCTAACCATTCACCTAGGGCTATTAATCCTTTATGCCACATTATCCCCATTCCTCTCTTCCTCATCTTTTCTCCTGCACTTTTTTCTTCTTTTTCGTGCATCATCACCTATCTCACCTATTTTCTCTCCTTTCCATTCTTTCTTTCTCACAGACCATCACTTCTGTCCTCCCTCCCTTTAATGCCCTTCTGTCTCTGCCCCTTTTTGTCCGCCCTTTCCCTCTTTCACATTATTTTCCCTCTTACCCTCCCCCTATCTCAAACACCTACAACAAGCTCTCTGCCGCCCAAGCAGAACTGGCCTCCTAGGCTCCTGATGGCTTGGATAGAAAGGGCTTTGCTCTGATAGGCGTAGGTCTTTCGATTGGTTGCTCAGCTTGCATGCAAGTCTAAGTCCCACCTCTGCTGAACGGATGCGTCAAGTTGGCACCTGCTATTGGTCAATGGGACCGTCAGCGGCTAGCCCTGCCTTTCACGCAGGCGTCTACTGAGGATCTGCGAATAAAAACACAGTCTGTGGGTTGGAAGGGTAGGGGGGTGAGCAGGGCGTTGCTTTAGCAAGCAGCTGGCAGTCCACAGCCCTCCGAAGAGAGAGAGCGAACAAGCGGAAGGAGCTTAAGAGAGCAAGCGAACTAGTGGGATAGGGGAGACCAAGACTGACCATTAGCCAGGCAGACGGACGGACAAACGCCAGGACAGACAGACTGAGCCGGCGCTGGAGAACCTCCCACGGGTTCCCTCCCGCCTTTCCCTTTGAAAGCCAGGATTTTGCTTTTTCTGAGGCGCCTGAGAGAGAATGCTGGACTCTGCCGACTTCAGCGCAAGCTAAGATTTCTCAGTCAGGGAAGAAAGACCGGCCCAATTTTGGGGGGGGGGCGGGAATCAAGCGCCCCAGCCCCCACTCCCCTTCCCCTCCCCCATCAAACTCGGGCTCCAAACCCTGCCCTTCCCTAATCATCCGACTTCCTCCTCTCCTTTTTAGCATGGTGGCTGTATGGACAGTCTGACAGAACAGAGACTGACATCTCCCAATCTGCCAGCCCCCCACCTGGAACACTACAGTGTTCTGCATTGCACCATGACCCTGGATGTGCAAACTGTAGTTGTTTTTGCCGTGATTGTAGTCCTCCTGCTTGTCAATGTCATACTAATGTTTTTCCTGGGAACCCGCTGAATGGAGTCCAGCCACCTAATCTGTTTCGAACTCTTGCTTTGAATTCTATCCCTAGAGCCACCAAAGGGTAGGGGTGTGGTGGGGGGCGGCAAGAGAAACAAGACAGAGACAGGGAAAGAGAGGGAGAAAGCAAGCTATTTTACTCAGGGGGGAAAACGTTAGGAGCTTCAACATGGCCTCGCTCTGATATGTATGACGTTGGTATAATTATCTCTCCCTAAATCTTTTATCATGTCTTGTCTAAGTATGCCTGTGAATGTAGTTGCATATTACCTGAGTGAAATTTTTGCTAGAGAAATGCTGTGTGTGTGTGTGTGTGTGTGTGTGTGCATTTTCCATCTGTATGATGTTCTTAAATAGTGGCTTTGCTGTTTGTTGTGTTTTGTCAACTCGCTTTCTTGGAAACTACCCCTTTAAACTCCCAACAGAAAATTTTATTTAAATTTATTTCTTGCCATTAAGTGTGCATTTGGGTGTATTTTAATACTGGGGGATTTATGGAAGAGCATGATTAAATTTTGGCTTTTCAGATGCCTAGAAGGAAAAAAAATCGATGGAAGAAGATGGATTTAAGGAAAAACAATTCTTTAGTCTTTAATGAGAACTGAAAATCTGAGAAGTGATGAGGTGGGATGGGAATGCACTGAACTGGCCTTTGATGACTGTCTTTGAATTTCACTTGATGTCCAAGTTCCTTTTTCAAATTTGTAAAGAAGCCACCATGAAGCATGAAAAGCCAATTTATTTGGAATAATGTAGAATAGCATAAATGTGTCCTCCGGATTTTATGAACTGACAGGAGAGGGCATTGGCAAAGGGTGTTTGGGCTACATTTTCTGAATTGTATTCCTGGTTCTGAATTTGGGATTTTCTATCTCAGTACCAACTCCAAACAAACAAACAACCCAAAAGATGGCTCTTTACTCATTTGGGGATAATAGTACTTGAATGAATATGGCTTTTTGGGAATAGTCTCATTTGCAATGATTTTCTTGAATAGAACGTGATAATGCTTCTAAACAATGGTGGGTTTTTATTTTGTTTGCTTCTTTGTCTCTTAAGATTAGAAGTCATTCTAATTGAAATATTTCCAGAATAAAATGAAAGTATGTATTATGCTAAGTTGGAAGTTTTGAGTATCCCTCATAAAAATGTCAATATGGTTTTAGATAAGAGCTTGGGAAAATATATGAACTGGAAGCATCATTTCATTCAAATCTGAGATAAGTTTGCTTTTCTTTATCAGTAGAATTAATAATTGCTGTTATTGTTGCCAATGTTATTATTTTTCTATTTCTGTTTTCACTGGAAAAGGTCTTGGCACAGCCAAGAAAAAAAATTACTTCTGACACCAATGACATGATACTTTTACCGCCCGCTCCCCCATATTTCTCATTCCATTGCTTACCTAGCTTGATATAGTGCCATTTCTGGCCCATGTAGCAATGATGTGGGCACACACATCCATAGACATGTTCCCTCTACAATGTGGGTGGTTGCTCATGTACAATATGCAGATGTGTTGGTGATATGCTACTAAATGTCTCGTGCCCTAGGCTCCATCTCCTTGGAAATGATTGTAAAGGGAGAGAGGCTGTGAGGGGCTCTCTTGGAATTGTATAACTAACTTCAGGACCCAGAGAGTATAGTTTACTGGTCTCTGACCAGGTTTTCAACCTCAAATGTACTTTCCTTGATTCTGTGTGGGTAAAAAGCAGAGGTTTTGGGTCCCCCCCGCCCCAACCTACTCCAATGGTAGGTACCACGAGGTAAGTGTGACCTGCGAAGTTTGCTGACAATGACCTTTTATGGAGGCTTCCTGAGTGGAAACAAGAACTAGGGTTTATTTGCTTAATAGAAAATCTAATAATTTTCCACTTTACTTCTGGTGATTATTATCTAAAATAAGCTTATATCTAGACTGGTCACTTGGTTTCAAGACAGTACTGGAGAGAGTGAAAACACTTTATTCTGGGTAGCTGTGGATTCACTTTTCTCCATTTAGCAACTGTTTGACATTAGGTAATTTTTTTCTTCCTTAGTTGGTCTGGAATTCCCTATAAAATTGGCATTTTGGGATGGTTGGATTAGGTGTTCTCCAAGTTCTGTGATTTTTAGGTGACCACAGGTACTTGAAAGGATCCCTGGTAGTGCTGTGGTTTAGGCATTGGGCTACTAACTACCCTGTTGGTGGTTCAAATTCACCAGCTTCTCTGCACAAGAGAAATGATAAAGGGAGAAAAATTCACACCTCTGTAAACCCTATGTAGAGTCTCTGTAAGTAAAAATCATGGGGGACATAAGCACTTGAAGTCAGAGAATGATGACCTGGAAAGACAAATAAAGAGTAAATGAAAAGTTAATGAAGGGATAATGAGAGGTGTTATCTGGATATACTAAGGTATAATTAAGGGATTTTTTTTTTTTTTGCTTTTGCTATGTGAGAAAGAAACTGGGGATTCAACCATAGAATGGTTACTCCCCACCCTTTTTCTCCTAAGTTGAGTTGGAGTCTCTAAGGCTCATTTTTGATGAAGAATCCCTTGGAGTAGCAAACGATTAATGCTCTTGGCTGGTAACCTAAAGGCTTGAGGTTCCAGTCTATCCAGAGGAACCTCATAAAAAAGGCCTGGTAATCTACTTCTGGAAAAAAATCAGCCATTGAAAACCCTATGTATGGAGCACTGTCCTGCTCTGACACACGTGAGGTTGTCATGAGTTGGAAATGACTCAAGAGCAACTGATTAAATGTCGCTAAATGTCATAGCCTTCCCTTCTGGGAGCGTGACAGATCCTTAGCAGAAATTCTTTGGGTATGTGACTGTAGGATATATGACAGTATGTCTGTGGGTGGGTGTAAATGCCTTGTGTATGTTAAGGGATATACCTCCTGAATTTGGATGGGGGTGGGGAAGTGGTGGTTGTAAGAATGTGGAAAGACAACAGGATAAGAATTTTATGGTTTTTAATGCCCTCCTAGTGCTAGCACCTGTAAGTATTTGACTGGTAGTAGGACAGATGACATTCCAGGTTTCTCTCCATATTCCCTCAGAGTAGAGGAGTAGTTTGAGTGATTCCTTCCATCAATAATTTAGCTTGTAGAATGGGTTATCACTTGTCAAGTGATCATATTGCTAGGCAAACATTGCTAGTTTGATGGCGGGCCACCCCAGAACAGTCAGAAGGAGTTTTAGGGAGTAGGAAACAAAAAGTGACTGTGTCTTTTTATTTATGAATTCTCACGTTTTGGCATTTCTCCTTCAGATATATGAGGGTACATAAAACTAGAAAAGAGTAGGAGAATATGAGAAAGGCTGCCTAAAGGAGTGGAATCCTCTGCAATTTCATTTTCCTTTCATTCCTTTTTCTCCTGTCTCATCATTTTCTTTTCTTCCATTTTCCTCTCTCCTTTGACTTCTCCTAACCCAGCATCAAGTGGGTGATAAGGAGAACAAGACTCTTTTTTTTCTGGTACATTCTAACTTTTCCCGAAAGAACCCCTCATTCACTTCCTTCTCACCTTTGGACAGAAGAAACACTTTTGCTTCCAAGAAGGGTAAAATTTCAGCTCAGGGCTTTTGGCCAAAGCTTTCTACTAAGGAATTCAAGAAATTACCTTCTGGTGATATCTTAGCAATGGTTGCATGTCTCTTAACTCTTACTGAGTTCCTTAGTACACCCTTTTAAGTCCCAGGCACCAAGGCCTCTAGAGATGTTTTTGGGAATGGGACAAGGGAAAAGGATCCCCATTGTTTGCAGATGCCTAGAAAATATGTCTACAACAGGAATACAGATTCTAGCTTCCTTTCAGCCATGGAAACTGGGTCTCTGGTTTTCCAGGAATCCCTAATCAAAGCTTATCTATTCTAGGATCTGCCCGTGGTATTTTTTTTCTGTCTTTGGGTGGATTTAGCTCTCTAGAATATCTCATTCCTTGTACTTCCCTGGCATTGAAGTACAAAGTAGAAAGAGAAGTGCTTGTATGGAAGAGAAGACTGAAGAACCAATTGTAATGTCAATATTATTAATACCTTCTTAGTGCACAGACCTATGAACTTGAAAAAAATAAATTCACATCCTTTCTAGCTTGAGCATCACATCAATTTTTTATTCTCATTTTATAGCTAAAGGGAATAAAGGTCCCATAGACTGTTGGGAAAATATTGGGTTTGCCTTTCAAAACAGAGAAGTAAGAGAGTCAGAGTCCTAGGTAGTGAGAAGTTGAATAGGGTCAGATGGGGATGGAGGTGAGTCACTCCTGAAATAATAGTAGCTGTTTCAGCTAATCAAAGGTGCTTTTTTAAGACCTTGTTTGCATAGCACTTTTACACATAATTATTTATTAAATGCTGTCCATTCTGTCTTGAATATACAGCACGTGGCTCCCATTAGTCTTATGAAAACTCACCATTTGGGATCTTTCTAGGAGCCTGTGTGAATAGGAATGCCTGACATACAGAATGTTTTGAAGAAACTGCTATTTTTGTACATTGTTAACTCACTCCCTCATTGCCATCGAGTAGATGCCGACTCATGGTGATTCCATAGGATAAGGTAGAATTATCCCTGTGAATTTCCAGACTGTAACTCTTTACCAGATTAGAAAGCCCTATCCAATGGTACTTCCTCTATTTGTCTTTATTTCATTAAAAACATGCTGTCCAGGATTGATGTTTCTACTCCAAATGCACCTTAGCAGGACTATGTACAAAGAGATTTTGATCTGTCTGTGAAATGTCTAATAACACAGACTTCAACTTATTCGAAGCACTTGCTGAACAATCTTATAACTTGGGAAATTTTTAATAACCAAGACAGGTCTCAACTCTGAGAGAATCTGATGAAATTGTATTATGGTAGGACAGTTTCAATTTTTAATTTAAAGCTTCCAGAAATGATTAAAATGTAAGGGTCACTGTATTATCTTGTATTAAGACATTTTGTATTCAGTGAACATTTCTTCAGTAATTTAGGTTCTCATTCAGCAATTTCTATACAAATTGCTCAGTGTACATTGGTTAAATTCTTTAAAATTTAAGAACATTCTCATTATTTCTGTTCTGGTTGTTCTGTTTCCATCAATCTATTTTTCTTTTCTTTTTTTGCCCCCTTAGACATTCTCATATTTGTTAGAAAGTAATTGTTGACAATTTTGTCTTATACAAGTGAGGTTTTTTTATAGGAGCACAATACTCATGAGT